GCATCTACCCCACGTGAACACCGAAAACTTCATTTCAGCATCTGTGACTGTCAAAATTATTTAGCCCTGAGAAAACTTGAACCTGCTCCGCAATCCTACTTAAGCAGCTGCCGCCACTGTTTCATTCACTGTCTCAAGCTCTCTCAGGTCTGGCTGGACGCAGTCAACATTAGCCCTGTATTCGCCAGTGGTCACTGCCACCTGAGACTACAACTGGGAGTTCTGTATACAATAAATCCCGCCCACAGGTGACTTCTGCCCTTTAACTTCCAACCTGGGATTTGGTCTGGAGATTGTAGGGCTCCAAGCGCACACTAATTAGACTGCTACCAATTGCTGACCTGGACATGATATAAACACGTAGCAACTTCTGATATGGCTGGCAACATATTCACGAAATTCCAACTCGACTTCGCCGTGCTATTTCCCCTGAGTCACTCATCGTGCCCATGGATAGGGAAACGCGGTTGCCGACACGCTGTCGCGGATCGAGATTGACGTCTTCGGCAAAACTCAGCCATTAATGTCCAGGTCGAACCCCAATCAAGTTATTCGGAGAATTCATCCAAATATGTTGCTATCCCAGTCCAGATGACATAGTCAATAGTCTAATAGACCTAAGTATCCGCTCTAGATGCAAATTAAACTTCTCTCTCCCTTCTTCCAAAGCCCCCAAACCTGATAGGGAGCAGTTGGCGAGTCCAGTTCCGGTTCGATGGAGAAAGTGGTCAAAGTGTCTTAGACTGTGACCCCTTACAACACTATAATTATTCAACTTCCCTAGTCCGCTGTCATGTAATGGTCTCTATGGTGTTGGCTCACACATATACTCCACGTGAACGCCGAAAACACCGTTTCAACATCTGTGACTGTCAACATTATTTAGCATAGTTTCGAACTTCGCCAAGTCAGAGACGTTAACCAGGGCGGAAATGATGTGGTCTAACTCACATAAGCGTACACCCAACGGAAGACCTAGCAACTTGCATACATTTGACCCACCTTCAAAAACTGTATAGGGCACATGCCTACTAGTGTCTACCCTCTTCATCTGATTGGGACTTTATCTGAGGCAGTGAATGTAGAGACAAACCAACGACTTTAGTGTCCTACGTCGGCGTCCAGGTTCCACTTCCGATACAGAGTCGGTGGGTCAATGCCGTAGCACTCAGCAATTGACCCAGTTCCCGGAGATGCCGACCCTGTACCTGATCAGAAGTGCCCGAAGGCTACATTCTGTAGAGGTAGAGTGGGACAAGTACCGTCGCAGGCCCATGCACTAGCCTATATTTTCAAAACGGCATCACGAGCCCACAGATTCCCCATCAGCTGGACATATGAATAAGTTGTGCGCGGTGGCTTATGCCCCTCCGCTCCCCTAACTGTCAACCGCCGCATACATCACGCCGTCTAGGGGGAGAGAAAACCCGTGTGATTCGAACTCGCGAACACAAATCTGAATCCTTTCGCTTTACGTTCAGATCGGATATGCTGAAAGATGGAGCTAAACACTCAATGGCGGAACTCGTCGTCGACTAACTTCCATAGGAGGGCGTCATTGGGGCAGTCAAGTTCCGGGACGAGGTTATTGCCTGACGTAGTCCCGCGGTCAAAACCACACCTCCTGAGTAACTAAATGAACGGTTGCGAAGACAGCCTCGCCGAATGTCACCACCGGCATCAGACTACTTGGTCTTATCACTGCACGCTCGACATCTCTTTACGTTAAGTGAGGACATTGCCGATACAAGTCAAATGCGAGTAATTAGGTAAACGCGATCGCTGGGACGAGAACTTTAGCCGCCCGACCTTTCGGGTGAAGTCTCTGACCCATCTTCAGAGACCATATCAGAAACGGATAGTTCGTACACAGGATAGCTGCGTGATGA